GAATGAGCCCTCACCAATAAAGGTTACAAAGCAGATGCCCTCAGAGGTCACCTTGCAAGACAGAGTTCACCTCAAAAAAAACCAACCCAACTACCCTGGATATAAACAAGGAGCTTTAGGGAGTCTGCTTCAGAATAATGGCACCTCCAAGCCCCTTAGCAGATACATTTCTAATCTCTTGATCTGGGGGAGCAATGCACAGCCCTCCATCAAGACCTGCTGGTTTTTAGGACCTTTCACAAGTTAAGGCAGGTACTAGGCCTCTTTGCTGTAGCATGGCTGGGACAATTTAGGTACATGGACCTCCACAGTGCAGCAATGAAGAAGGCTGTCCATCTTTCTGGGCATTCTTATGCAGAGCTCTGGGAGACTGACCTGCTGGAGACCACCCTACAGCTCTGTGGTTGATCACTAAACCACCCTTATTCACCCCTGACCATGAACAGGGAGAAAAATTTGACTTAGAGAACCTGCCTTGCTAAGTGAACTAAGTCTTAATAATATAATATAATATTCAGAAAGAGCCATAAGATTTTTGGAAACCTCAGTCCCCATTCTCACAACTCCACAGAGGAACACACATCTATTTGTTCAGCCACCCTGTAATAACAACCTTGTCTCACTACTTCTCCATCATGAAAAGCTCCTTTGTTTACATATATAAAAACACACACGATGTGCCACAGGCTGGCAAAATATGGCTAATTTTGTGTTCTTTAAAGATCTGGTTAATATCTGCCCCTGGAAAAGCAGCCTAACCACTCAAGATGACTCTCAATTTGGTGTTCACAGCCTTGAGAAATCTGACAGCAACCTCTCTGCTGCTCTGCCTTTCCATCAGGCTTCTGGGGGCTTCCACCTTTAGTAGGAAAGCAGGAGGAAATTCAGGTGCTGACTGATGATGTCGCTCACAATTGTCATCTTTTCAGTCAAGACTCTTCCTCCAGATGATTCCAAAGTGTGCCCAGTAAGTTGAGTTTAAGAATTTTAATTACCCTTTCTTGAAGTCTCACACTTCTCATCTGACTGCTTTTCTTCCACCCACTTGGGGCCAACCTGTTTCCACAGCTGTTTGTGTCACCATCAGCAGCTACTACTAAGTCAAAGAGCAAATCTGTGCCAGGACCTAGAGAGAAGACTGCTATGCTGAACTTGTAACTAGTGATGAAAACAGACTGCTAGAACTCAAACTGCACTAACAGCCTCATTACAGAGACTCCCAAGCACTAGCAAAGTCACTTGGAACTTCATTCCTAAATTTAGGCAGCACTAAGTCATGACAGAGGCATCCAGAAATGATGCTTTATTAGACAGAGCAACCCTGTATCCACCTACAGTGAAGGACTCCACTGGGTAACTAGCCAATATGTTCAGGGATACTGTTTGGAATCACCACAGAACAGAGGTGGACTATTATCAGAGGGAAGAAAAGGGGGAAAAAAATTACTACAGGAAATAAGAACATTTCTCCTTTCTTCCTTTTCTTCACAAAACTGCTTAGCTCTTAGGAGCTCTAGTTCTGTGCAGCAACATGAATTCAAATGATAGAGAACACCCACTCTACTATTTGCACAGCAATCTAGGGTAAGGCTGAGTATCCAAGTGCCTTGCAGATCTTAATCAGGCAAGACCTTCAGATCTTCTCCACCAGCAGCTCAGCACACCCTCAAGCAGGAAGGCACATGAAGAAAACACATCTCAAAACCAAAAATGGCCAGTTAGTGCTAAAGAGCTTTCTTTACCATGAGTGTTCATTAGAATGAAACAGAACAGACACAGATATTACCACTAGAAATGCATTTCACTCCTATCATCACAGTGATTTTCAAGTATACCTACCAAAAGAAAAACTTTGCTGTCAGGCTTGACTTTGTGTTTCTCCATGTATTTTATGAGGCTACTATTGGCATATCTGAAAAATACAGTTAAAAAAAAAAAGATATTTCTGAAATAATACAGCATTAAGAAGATGGAACTGCACCAAGTGATCACCAAGACATTGACCAGCCCTTATTAAGCAAACTGTAGCAAGAACTGCTATCAGAAAACATGTCAGATACTGATCTAGCAGTTGCACACACACACTGTGTTTTTCACTAACAGGAGTAGCATGAACTGTGCAGAGATTATTTCCAACTTTTCTAGTCTATGGATAAGCTGCTGACGTGGGCATGACACAGAAGCTCAACTTGGAAGGTTTTAATCTAGTTTTCTACAGCAGCTCTGGCACAGAAGTGCACAGCACTTTGTAGCAGTGCACCAGCTGATCTATTAAGCTGTTTCCAGTTGCCATTTGACAGAGGAGTTAGTTCACCATCTGTCTCCCTGACCCCAACCTGCAGCCAACCATATGGTCCCAAGCTTCAAAATGCCCCAAATGTGCATTAAATCTACAAATCCAGAGGTTATCTACAGCTGTGCTCAAAAGGAGGAAGATTCATACACAGGTAACTTCATATCCTGTCTAAAGTCAGTGTAGTGAAACCATAGCAGAGCTGGAAACAGAATCCCAAGCTCCTGAATCCATGTCCTCTGCCCTACAGCAGAGTGTGTTGCTCCTTACACCCTCTGATCTGTCACCACCACTTGACTCATGTAGACAAAGCACCATGAAACACTGGGAGTGGAAAATCCTCAGATCCCAGATGGGCTTTGCATCACAACCCATTGGACATGTTACCTTCCACAGGTACTTCTGCCCACTACTTCACTGTCTCCACATACCTGCTGGTCAAAAGGAATAGGGAGGTGCTTCCCTGCTCTTTTTCACACACAATTAATGAAGTTTTATCTCCATCAGCTAATACCAGTGGTCTGAGGAAGCTCATCTGTCTGTGCCTGCCCTAGGTTAAACAGCACTTAGGATGATCCCTCCTAGAGAAATGAGGAGGCCACTCAGCTGATGCTTTGAACAAGCAGCTGAGGGTGAGAACACATTTCAAGCAAACCAGCTAATTCAAGGAGGGCAGCATGAGGACCCAAACACTCCAAAATCCCCTCCCCAAAGAAGTCACAGAAAAGGAGCCAGTTTCTGCCTGTTTGCTACGTTCACTGAATTGGTTTTGCATTAACGTCACTTACGTTGTTCTCCTAAAATCCTTCTGAAGAGTTGGATATTCTGGCATCTTCCTTATGTCTTCCCAGTCTTTATCTTTGGTGGGGGGGGGGAAAGGAGAAGCATTTAGAATTCTGGAAGTGTAGGTTAAGTAAAACATGAGAAGAAATAACCACAGCAGCTGCCTGACTGTCTGCTTGTCAGCCAGTGCTATTGTTTCATAACCATCAGCATTTCAAATCCATCAAACTGACAGCTGCTTCATACCAATACAAACAACTTGTAATTTCATCCAGGAAAAAACACCAAAAACAAACAGCTTAGTAACTTGTCTCTCATGCTTTAATGAAAATAAATTACCTGCAGGGAATCCCATGACACTGAAAATGCGATCGAGCTGATCATGATGGAAAGGATTACTTGTTTTGATGTCCTCCTGACGACAGTGAAATATGGGTTCTGAAGTCAACAGTTCAGCAAATATGCAGCCAATTGCCCAAATATCTAAGAAAGAAGGAGGATAATTCATGCAAATTTACTGTACCTCATCACTTCTTCTCTTTTCAGCACCGTTTCTCAACCACCTGCACGAGCACAGGAAGGAAGTGCCTCACAGTGGAACTGCACACAGTATTTTAAAAAGAATGCCTTCTTCTAACATATTTAAGAGGCCAAATTTGGAGATACAGGGTTTTTTTCAGTCAAATTTAGAGCCTCCAAATCCTGTTTCAAGTTGCACGCTGGCCATTCAACACTCAATGTATTCACAGCTATAGCAAAAACCTAGACAGTATTTGCTGATGACACAGCTAAAAAGGGCATTCAACTGACCATCATGACTAGTAAGTCCCCTAAAAAAATACATTGAAATAAAAGTTATATCACATTTCAGAGCAATTCCACACAGATAATTGATAAACAATTAAATACTAAGAAATAAAATACTAATGACCCGTATGTTTAGCCAAATAGTGCAGGCTAGTTAAAATGGAGAAAGAAGAGGCTAATTTTAATAAAGAGTAGAAAAATCAGTAGGAAACGTTAGCAAAAAATAAAATTAAAGTCCTCCAGGACAACTGACTCCCACTGGAACAATACTGGAACTGTTTCATCTCCACCTCTTGTATATACAGGGAGCAACAGCCTGACATACTC